ATTCATTGAACATGATTTTATTTACCAAAAATTAATATGGGGCATGAAAATGACTGATAGACATAATTGCTACTCTAAGTAAAGAATATGGGATTTAGGCGACTTTGTTAGAAAGAGAAATATAGAAGTTCTCAGTAAATAATTAGCATTTAGATAAAATGAATACTTTTAAAAAACAACACTTAAAAAACAATTTAGTTATCAAAGGTCAATAAAATTTAAATGAAATTAAATATGCACCAGCATATAGATATATATTATTCCATTGAAACAGTTTTTTTGTCATTACATCTTTAGTGTAACATTTTAATATAAAGTATTAATTAAAAAGCCGCCTGGGGAATTATTTTGTTCTAGATTATTCATGCATTTTTTCACTTAGCTTCCAAAATAACACAGGGAGATTTAATGTCAAAATAATAACACATGTATATATATTATCATAAATTCACCAATATTCAATTCATATTTTTCGGGAACAGAAATATATTTTACAATGATCATGAAAATGTGTCTTGAAGGTAAGCTGGATTTTTAAGGCAATTAAAGTTACCAGCATTTGTGAATGTGGATATGAACAAAGTCTGAAAGTACAAAAAATAAAAGATGGATTGGAAGCATTTGTTTGGAATTATTCCTCAAGAATTTTTTAGTTAAATGAATAGATCTCTTAAAATTCTTTTAGGTTTTAAACTTTAAATGTCATAAAAATCTCATGAGTTTTAGAAATGTGACCTGAATATATTTGACAATGAAAACATTTTAAAAAATGTCTTAGAAATAATGACTTGATTGAACTCACAAAATATCTTTATTGCCATACACAAATGTAATTTCTAAAAATTGTGTCCTTAATTCATACAATGTGCAATGTTTTTAATAGTAGTAATTTAAAAGCTCAAAAACCAAATAACTATTTTTATATTTTACGCTTTACACTATTACAATAGCTTTACTCTTAAATATACAGTAAAATAGCCCTTTTTTCTTATAATTATTTATATTTTCTCTTCATTTTTTTAGGTGACACAACATCTACTATTCATGATGTTAAACAAAAACTTACAAAAGCATGTAAGTTTTAGATATATTTTAGAATTTTATATTACTATCTTTTTCAAAAGCAGTTAAAATTAACCTGTAAGAATATGTTAACCATTTTGATGTGAAAAGTTTAAAGGAAATCATATTTTTACCTGCAGTCCAGAAATTCTTTCAATGCTTAATATTTCTTGAGTTTAGTGATTCTCACATTTAACTGTGAGGACACTTTAATCTTCAATGCTTACACATTCAGCACAAAGTTGCAATTCATATTAAAACTTTGTTTTACTCTGATGTAAAACATTATATACCAAAGGAATTCACTCATACAATGAATTTCTTCAGGGATGGGGAGTGGCTCAAGTGTAAAGGACTATCAAGTACTAAGACCCTAAGTCAATCTCCATGACTGCCAGGAAAAAAAGTATTTTTTTAATATTTAAGAAATCTGCTTATTTATTATGACCAAATTTCATTGACACAGGAATTATTTATACAATGGTTACAAATGTTATTACCTAATTTCATTAATAGTTAAAGCTTTCATGAATTGAACTCACATAATTTACTTGAAAGCATTTATATTTTGTATGCTTTTTAGACTTTTAGCACAATTTCAATGAAGTTCATCCTAATTGTTTTGCTTCCTCATTACTTTTATTAGAGTGTATTCATTGTACAGGGCAGATTCATTATGAAAACTTCAAACAGGCTTATATTGTACATTGGTTAGGTCAACCCTCACTCTCTCCACCCATCAAACCCCTCTCCACCCCACTTAAAACTATTCAAAAGGTTTCTTTGTTCTACCTTTATATAAGTATATAAAGTCCATCAACCATATTCCTCACCTTAATCTTCTTCATCACCCTCCCATACCACAAGTAGGCCCACCTACAAACTAACTATTTTTACAGTCCTGTCTTTGATTATTAGTATCTAAGTTGATGTTCACAGGGGTTTCTCAGTATATTCCACTGTGGGTATACTTTATTTTGGTCCATTTAATCCCTTCCATTACTCTTACATTATTATCCTCACCTCCCCCCATTTTTCAATAGCTTTTAATAAATATCCTTATAATCCTCTACCTTCAACAGATGTTATGTTTTAAATGTTGTTGATGCTGTATCATTCTCTCTTCCTGTCCTCCTTCTCTGAGTTCGCATAGAGTAGTTCCGCTATTACAAAAAAAGTTATATACATATGAAGTGTGTGTAAGATCATGAGATTGTTTTTGCATATATTTTTATCTTTGGATCTATTTTCTATGTATGGAGAAAATCTCATACATGGAAATCTTTCTGAGCCTGGCTTACTTCACTTAACATGAGAGTCCTCCAATTACATCCATTTACCTTTAAACCACACAGTGTCATTATTCCTTATGGCTGATTAAAATGCCATTGTATATATACATCAAATTTTCCTGATCAATTCATCAGTTGTAGGGCATCTGAGTTGTTATATAACTTGGCTATTGTGGATAGTGCTGCAGTGAACATCTAATTATCTAAATTTGACCTCAATCCCTTTCTTATGGTGGTTTTAGCTGGTTTAAAATTTCTATATCCATTCTTGTATAGAGAGTATATCACCCATACTCAACTTCTTAATTTCCTTCTTTTATCCTCCCACTCTCATGTGCGACCTCCATTTAATGTGACCAAAGTTTCATATTATTGCTGTGTTTGTATTAGGTCTGTATTCAATATATAAGAGAGAACATACAGATTGTGGCCTTCTGACTCTGGCTAACTTCACTTAAGATGATGTTCTCTAGTTCCAAACATTTACCTGCAAATGGCAAATTTCATTCATCTTTGTAGCTGAGTAAAATTCCATTATATATAAATACCACATTTTCTTAATCCATTCATCAGTAGTGGAGAATCCTGGCTATTTCCATAGCTTAGCTATTGTGAACAGTGCTGTAATAAATATGAGTATACAGGTGTCTTTGTTGTAAGCTGACTCACATTCCTTTGGGTATATCCCTAGGAATGGTATTGTATAGCAGGTCTATTTTTAGTTTTTATCAGAGCTTCCGTATTGTTTTCCAGAGTGGTTGTACTAGCTTACATTCCCCCAGCACTGTATGAGGGCTCCTCTTTCCCACATCCTTACACCATTTTTTGTTGTTTGTGTTCTTGGTGGTAGCCATTCTAACAGAGGTGAAATTAATCTTAATGTAGTTTTGATTTATATTTCCTTTATGGCCAGGGATGATAAGCATTTTTTTCATGTGTGTCTTAGCCATTTGAACATCTTCCTTTGAAAAGGCTCTGTTCAGTTCATTTTCTTATTTCTTCATTAGGTCATTGATTTTTTGGGAGTTTAGCTTTTTGAGCTCCTTGTACATTCTGGTTATCATATGGATTCTGGTTATCAGTCCCCATACATCAATCTGATGTATACTTGGCAAAGATTTTCTCCCATGTGGGTAACTTCCTTAATTTAGAAACAATTTGTTTTGTTGTGCTGAAGGTTTTTTAATTGTCATGTAGTGCTATTTGTTGATCCTTTCTCTTAGTTGCTGACTCAATTGAGTTCTGCCGAGGAACTCAATGTATATGCCTATTGCTTCCAGTGTATTTATTCCCCTGCTCTTTTCTATACTAGTTTCAAAGTTTCAGGTCTAATATTTAGGTTCTTTATATGTTTTGAGTTGATACTTGTACAGGGTGACAAACATAGATATAGTTTTAATTTTTTGCAGGCAGATATTCAGTTTTCCCAGCAACATTTGTTGAAGAGGCTGTCTTTTCTCAATCATGTGTTTTTGGTGCCTTTGTCAAAAATTGGTGGGTATAGCTGAGTCGATTCACATCCCAATCTTCTACTCTGTTGTACTGATCTTCATGTCTGTTTTTATGCCAATATCCTGCTGTTTTTATTACTATTGCTGTACAGGATAGTTTGAGGTCAGGTATTGTGATATTTCCGGAGTCGCTCTTTTTGCTCAGTATTGTCTTGTCTATTCGCGGTCTTTGTGCTTCTAAATGAACTTTAGGGACATTTTTCAATCTCCATGATGTATGTCATTGGGATTTTTATGGGAATTGCTTTGAACATTTAGATTGCTTTTGGTAATATAACAATTTTTGCTATGTTGATTCTACCAATCCATGAACATGGAGATCTTTCCACTTTCTCCTTATAGAGGTCATTTTTATCCTTCCTTAAGTTTATTCTTAGATATTTTATGTTTTGTGGCTAATGAAAATTGAACTGTTCTCCTATATTCTTTCTCAATCATTGTTGATGTAGTATCCTGCTACTTTGCTGAAGCTATTTATGGTGTCTAGGTGTCTAGGAGTTTTTGAGGTCTGTTATGTATGGGATCATGTCATCTGTGGAAAGAGATAGTTTGATTTCCTCCTTGCCTACTTTTATTCCTTTCATTTCTTCTTCCTGTCTTATTACTCTGGCTAGGAAGTCCAAGACTACTTTGAATAGGAGTGGAAAGAGGGGACACACTTGTTTCATTCCTGACTTTAGGGTAAATGGTTTCACTTTTTCTGCATTAAGTGTGATGTTGGTTGTTGGTTTGTCATATATAGCATTTATTATCTTCAGGTGCATTACTTCTATTCCTAGTTTCATCAGAGCTTTTATCAGGAAAAGGTATTGAATTTTATCGAGGGTTTTTTCTACATCTATTGAGATGATCAAGTGGTTTATGTCTTTGCTTCTGTTAATATGTTGTATTACATTTAATGATTTATATATATTGAACCATTCCTGCATCCCTGGGATGAAGCCAACTTTGTCATGGTGTATGATCTTTCCAATACACTGTTGAATTTGGTTTGCCAAATTCTTTTTTGTTGTTGTTGTGTCCCTGTCCGGTTTTGGTATGAGTGTAATACTGGTTTCATAGAATGAGTTTGGCATCATTCCTTCCCTTTATACTTCATGGAAAACTTTAAGGAGTATTGGTATTAATTCTTCTTAAAGGTTGGCTAGAAATCTGTGGAGAATATGTCAGTTCCTGGACTTTTATTTTTTGTAAGCTCTTTATTGCAGCTTAAATTTCATTGTGTGTTGTAGACCTATTTAGTTGATTAATGTCCTCTTTGTTCAGTTTTGGATAGCAATATGTATCTATAAATTTGTCCATTTCTTCTAGATTTTCCAAGCTACTGCTGGAGTACTTTAGCAAGTTTCAAACTCAGGTCCCTACATATCTCATACTATTTGCTCTCAATTTCTAACAAAAACCGTATGGAAGGATTGAACACTATTGTCAAAACCTAACTGAAGACTATGTGCATATTACATAAAATTTCAAGAAAGTCTCTAAAACTCTGTGTCTATTTTATTACATATTTCTAATTGAATAAAATTAACTTATTTCTTCTTATATAATTCAAATTTAATTACTTTAATGTAATTTTCTATCTTGGAATGCAATATGAATTTATTGCCATATAGAAAAAACAAAATTTCCAAAACCTTAGTTTACAAATTGAGTTGGCTTTTTCCAGAGATTCATGTTCTCTTCAATGATTTTTGGGGGGTTATAAATACATAAATATAATTAAAAAATACAATTTTACATTTGGTGAGATATAAAAATCAATGAATATTTGAGGAATTCTGAATGACACTCAATATACTTGCAATAGCAAATTATATATCTTTTACTAAATATATGTGAAATTATATCAAATTTATATTTTCAAGATTTATATTAGAACTTTCACTGAATTGACAAGATGAGTGAAGAGATTTTGATTTACATGAACATATGTGTCAAATGTGATAGTTTTCTTTCTAGAGAAGTCATTGTAAATATTGCATAATCTCAAAACTAATGATTTAATGTTTTCTGTTAGTGATTTTTAATTAGGGAATGCATTTTCATTCTTTCTAGATCATTTTCAATTATCAAAACTCATTTAAGTGGATTAAAGAGTAAATAAAGAAAACCAGAAGAAATAATACCACTATGAAATTAAAGGACTGTATTACAGAAGTTTTCTCTTGCTGGCTTTGTGTGGACTAGTAATATAGTCATCAAAATT